ATGAGGGTAATATTATAAATTTTTTTTTTTTAATATCGTATATAATATTCGACGAGAATATTAATTCATCAACAAGAAGAAGAAGAAGAGGTAATATGGCAGACACACAAGATGTTTTTTAGGCTAAGGAAAAACCTTCAAATTCTACCTTTTTTTTTAAAAAAATATGTTACGTTACTACGACCTTCAATAATTGACAGTTATAAGAGTTACTTATAATATTTTAAAACTATCATCGTGGTAATAGATACCGTTTTAATGTCATTAACTTATTTTAAAACAGATTACTACTACTACTACTACTACCACTACAACTACAACCACGTCATTATTATTTGTTATCATTTCAATGTTTTTCTTTTTTTTTTTTTTACAATAGGAAATTGTTATTGACTGAACGATGAGAGAGAGAGAGAGAGAGAGATTTTATGTAGTTTTAAAATGTTAATAAAAGTTTTTTTTTTTTTGGTAAAATCGTTCGATATGATATTAAATCGTGCGTTTCTAAATTTTTAAATCCATAAACGGCTACAGTTTTTTTTTTTTTTTTGACAAAAACGTGACTTTATTGACACGGTTTCCATTTCGGCCATAACTAATTTTTTTGTAATTTTATTGAATCAAAAAAAAAAAAAAAAAAAAAATTAACGTCGTTATAAAATTGACGGACGGAGTAATAAAAATTAAATCGAAATTTAAAAAATTTGCAACGATGAAAACGCACACGCACGCACACACCTTATTTATTTAAATTTTATTATTATTATTATTACTTGCAATCGATATAATTCATACTCTTTTTAATGTAATTTTTTATCGATTAAATTTTTATTTATTTTTTATCTTAATTATTTAATCCGCGGAACAAGAAATTTATTTTTAATCATTTACGACTAGATCGAATCAATGCGCAAATTTACCCCATAAATCATTTCCCTCCCCTTAGAGGGGGGTCTTACACGACTCTATGGGAAATTAATAAAATCGAATTAATTAATAACAAGTAAAAGGAAAAAAAAATAATAATAATGATTAATTTAAAAGTTAACGGTTTTTAACCGATGGAGAATATGTCAGGTGTCAAAACAAAAACAAGGGTGGGGAGAGGGGGTGTTGTAGAAACCCCAGGGATTAAATCACCCTTAAAGTCAACATACACACACACACACATTTTAAAAGTGTGTAAATTAAAACGAGTAATAAAATAATTTCAATCACGAAATGGAATGCCTCGTAGGGATATTTTTTTTTTTTTTTTTTTTTAATAAATCACCGCAAAAATTTTGCAAAGAGCAAAAAAAAAAAAAAATTTATTTTACTTTGTAAATTTTATTATTATTATTATTACGAATGAATGTCGATTTCGTAATATGTTTTTCTCTCTCTTTCTAATTCGGCTAAATAAAAAAAAATAAAAAATAAAAAAACTTGTTTTTGACATTTATTGCGACTCGAAACCGACAAATGTTATAATCCTGTCGTTAATTTTAATAATAATAATAATAATAATCAAAACGTATTACTCTATGTAAATCTATATATAAAAAAAAAAATTGTTAAACGGTGGCTTATTTTTTAATTTTTCCAGAGATTAAAAAAAAAATTGACGAAATCGGTATTTGAGGAGAGACGACGTGAAATTTTATTTTTTTTTTAAATATGAAATCCTGAAATCGATTGAATAATTTTTTTTTTTTACGGTTTTTTTTTTTAAATGTCGAACGAATTTTACCCTAGGAGGAATTAATTATTATTACCCGAGAGTGGTTTGCCTTAAAAAAAAAAAAAAAAAAAAAAAAAAAAACGATTCCATAAGGTAATTTTTTTTCTTTTCATTCTACCTTTATAACATACGATTTCACGATTATATTTTAATTATTCTTACGAAAAACATTAATAAAAGCTTTGCAATACATTCATCAGAACAAACAAACAAACAAACAGAAAAAGAAAAGAAATTTTTTAAACTCTTGTAAGATTAATTATTATTATTATTTATGCGAATATATATATATGTATGTATGCAAAAGTGGTGTGTTGTCATTGCACACGATGCATTAATATTCAAAATGTCATTTTTATAACCACTTTAATATTAGTTCCTATTATTATTATTTTTTAAACTTTAAATGGTAAAGAGGAAAGTTGCGGTTGTGTGTGTGTGTGCGCGCGCGCGTGTTTAAAATGACAAATAATACGAATAAATACATCAAAACATTTTTTTTCTTTTCTTATTTATAAATATTGTAAGCGAAACTAAAAGCTATAAATATATATATATACGCACACGTCTTTGTCTCTTTTATCCGGTTTACCAAAATTAATAATTAATAAAAAATGATAATAACGATAATGTTTAATACAAAGACTAACCTTGTCGTGTGAAGAAGTTTCTTTGGTTGTTTCATTGGCGGAGTATATAAACATGGATGATTTTTTATCATTTGTAAATTTCATTTTTCCCCAATTAATTAATCCATAACTTTTCTCTCTCTCTCTCTCTCTCTTATTTTATCCAAAATGAATCCTTTCTCTTTATATCAAACTGGAACCTAATAAAAAATCAAAAAAATCAATAATAATTATTATTATTTTTTATAAATTTAGGGCAATTTAAATAAATAAAAAAAAAAAAAAAAACCAAACGAAAGGAAAAGGTAATAAAAAATAATAATTATTATTATTATTGTTTTATGTTTAAAACAAATAAAAATAAATAATTGGCGGGAAATTTAAAATCTATTTGATAGTTGTTACTTTGTGAATAAGTTTAAAAAAATCAAAAAATAATGATAATGATAATAAATAAAAATTAAAGGAAAAAATAAAGCATTGGAAGGAATTTTATTAAAGGAAAAAAAAAAAAAAAAGGAAAAGGAGTTTTTTTTTTAGGTTTGGGTGAATGATTTGAAATTTTTTTTTTTTAGGTTCACGAAATGAGGATGTTTGGAATGCGGTGCGAAACCTAGGAAAACCACTTATTATTATTATGTTTAATTTTGAAAACACACAAATCCAAATTCAGTAACACACACACACACACACAAACACAAACATTGTTTGTGTCGTTATCAAAAAAAAAAATGTCTCAAATTCATGTTTTTTTTGTTGTAATATTTACTTTTCTTTTTGTTTCTCAAGGTCTATAACATACAAAAAAAAAAAAAAAAAATTCTGTACAAAATTTTATTTATTTAATCATTTCCTACAAAATTGATTTGAAAATTTTGCAATTTCTCCCCACTGCAATCAACAAACAAATTTCAAAAAAAAAAAAAAAAAAACTCCTATTTATTAGTATTATTATTATTATTTATTTGATTTTTTCATATGAGTAATTATCACAAAAAAAAAAAAAAAAAACATGTTTTGAAATATTTTTTTATTTTGATAAAACTTAATATTTGCAAATATTTCATTTGATTAAAACAATATTATTATTATTATTATTAAATAAATTTTTAATTTGTTTTAAATAAATAAATAAATGTTGTCTTAAATGTTATGTATTTATTGTAAAAAAAAAAACATAATGTTATTAATAATTTATTCATGTAGAAAAAAAAGTAATGATAATAATAATAATAATTTCACTCCATGTAAATTAATATTATCCAAGGCCAAATTTTTAATTTTTTTTGTAGAATAAAATTCTTTTTTTCTTTTTGGTGTTTATATTAATTATTGAAAATGTGTATGTTTTTTTCCAAAAAAAGGTTTATGTTTATGTTAAATTATGTTTTTGTTTAAATAATCAAATAGAAATTATTTGAAAATCGTTTCGATTTTTAATTTAAATTATTATTTAAAAATGTGGGTCATGAAAAAAAAAAAAAAAAAAAATTTTTTTCCTAACCATCATCATCCGCCATGCTATGCCATTTACTCAATTATTGATAATAATAATTGTTATTTTATTCCATGTCTCAGTTAAAATAATAGTTTGATATTAAAATTAAAGTCTTTTTGGTAAAATAATACAAAAATTTTTACCTAAAATGAATGCCATGTAAGATTTTTGAAAAAACGGTTAAAAACACACACACACACACACACACTCACCTTTCATTACACGAATGAAATTATTATATATATATAGTTAAAAAAATATATTCACCATGATATTTAAATTGTATTATTTATAAATTATTATTTTTTTATAATTTATTATGTTTAAAAAAAAAAAAACAGAACAAAATTAAACTAAACAATTTACACTGCATACCTTCACTCAAACTCACTGCGAGGGTTCTAAACATAAAGCAGTTTGTCGTTAAACTCTCTTGAAAGCAAAGCAATTCTCCTTCTTAAACCGCTCGTGTAGGTTAATTTTTTTATCACATGTTTAACTTTCGTGTGACTCAGTCAATTTTAATACACACACACACACCTTGCCTCACCTCAACTGGTTCTTATGTTACTCTATGACACCTTTAAAAGAATGATTTCAACGTTCAATAACCGTTGAGTGTATTGTTTATTGCTTTGATTATTTTTACTTTTTTTTAAAAATTTGCTTTATTAAAATAAGCATATTATCTAAAATGTGACTAATTTTTCTTTTTTTTTTAATGAAATCATCATTAATTTTTTTTTTAAAAATTTTTATTTGGTAAAATAATAATAATAATAATCAATGTTTGATTGGTGAAATTTTGTTTTATGTATTTCGCATTATGCTTAGTAATTTTATAAATGTTTTAAATTGATTTACTTACATTTTGTTTAAATAAATACTTCCATTTAAAAAAAAGAAACAAAAAATTATAATAAAACAAAATAAATATGAATTTCACTTTCACGTTTTGAACGTCCATTTTAAAATCGAAAGTCATTCGATTATAAAAAATGGCGCCAGAATTACACGAATCACCAACTTAAATTTTAAGTTGGCAATTGTGATATTGTTGGCGCAAAAACTGTTACTCTTTGGGATATGTTGGCCTTGCATTGACGAAGGCAGTATTTTTTTTTTAAAAAAAAAAATAATTTTATTAAAAATGCCTGCTAGCGAAATTCAATATTCTGAAAAATATTTTTGTAAAAACTTTGAATACAGGTAAATAATTAATAAATAATATTTATATATGTATATACATATTTTTTTTTTTTTTGGAAATTATCATCGGTTCATGAATTTATTTATATGATTTAATTTTATTTTATTTTAGACATGTAATACTTCCAACTGATTTAGCTAGAAAGGTACCTCGTACTCATCTTATGACTGAAACAGAATGGCGTAATTTAGGTGTACAACAAAGCCCTGGATGGATACACTTTATGATACACGATCCAGGTAAATGGAAATATTTATTATATTATATTAGTATATTATATTATATTAGTATATTATATTATATATTAGTATATATATTAGTATATTATATTAGTATATTATTTATTACATTACATTAGTATAATTAAATTCTCACTTCTCAGTCGTTAAATATTTTTTATTTTATTCGTTTTTTTATTTTATTTTACAGAACCTCATGTTCTTCTATTTCGAAGATCAGATGGAGATTTTAAAAATAATATATAATCAAAACTAATTAATAATAATTATAATATTGTAATAAATTGACTGATCATTTTTTGTATTAAAGGTACTACAATAATCTTTCTGTATTTAATCGAATTTTTTCTTAATTATCATATATATATTTTTTATTTTAATCGAAATTAACTATTACTTAAAAAATAAAAAATAAAAAAGATGAAAATTTTATTTAATAATTAATATTTATTTTATTAGTAAATTTGTACAAATTTTTATAAACATTATTTAACAGAGAATTTTTATTATTATGTAGTTTGTTTTTTTATTAAAAAAATATCGTCTAACCACAGTTCTTTATTTTTCAATGTAAGAAATAATAATAATAAATTTAAATTAGTTAAATTTAAACTAAAATAAAATGAATTTAATATAAAATATATATATATAGCAATAGATATTTTTAACAATGAATTTAATTAATATTAATTAAAAAAATAATTAATTGTTGTATTAATAATTTATAAGGCAAGTTGTAATATTTTTTAAATCAAAATCGTAATCTCATTGTAATTATAAAAGATGTAATAAACTTTAAATCATTTGTCTCTGATTATCATATTGTTTCATGTTTGATTGTTTTTTTTTTTTTCGCCTGATAACTAAAATGTATTTCATTGAATATCAAATAGTAAACAAAAGAAATTTTCAATTTTTTGTTTTAATTGTAATTCTCTACAATTAAAATTTTTTTTTTTATCGGTCTTAAAATGCATAAATAATGCGAAAAAAAAAGTAATAATAATAATAATAATTTTCTCAAGAGATATTGAAGTAATATGGTATTTTATAAAAAATGGTTCTTTTGCAAGTTGACGTGAGCAAATTTTTAATGATTATATTCTTAAATACAACTTGTAACACTATCAAATTGCCTACCTAAATTACATGTACTTTCAGGTTCAGACATTTGCCTCGTTTTTTTATGTAATTCTGTGTGTAATTCAGGAGAAGACATTTGACAGTTCCAAATGGGATCTTTGAGTTCGTTTAAAGTCCTGGGCGTTTGAAAATTATTGGCATCATCTAATATTTGTGAACAGTTTTCATTTGTTTCCCACGACTCATTAAAATTTACTTCTTCTTTTAAGTAATATTTTTTATTATCATAGTTGTCCAAACTACCATCAATACTATAATCTTCTAGATCAGAAACTGATTCAGCTTTTATTAAATATAAAGCGCCATCTCTTTTTTCAATATTCATTCCATTTGACATTAAAATATCTCTAAACAGTGAATTGAATAATTTTTTTAAAAATATCAAATTTAAAATTATTCGTCATAAACATGTCATGATTATTATTCAGAATGGTTAATTGAAAATTATTATAATATTTACCCAAATTCTTCTTCAGTACTGCATAAATCAGACACAAAATCTCTTAGTACACTTAAAGGAATCACATTAACATTTTCTTCATAATTGAAAAAATCAGAAAATTTTATTATGTAGGGAAGTTGATATTGAATTTCGTGTACAATTTTTTCATCTTTAGTTCTAGTTTCTTGTCTTTCTGGATAATTATAATGAGCGATTAATTCATATTTATGAGTTTTCTAAAAAAAAAAATGTTCAAAAATTTATATGTAAAGATAGATTAAACTGAGTGTAATTAATCATCAATGTGAATTTACATCTGGTACTTCTGGAAACTCCCTTGCTGTAATAAATGCTTCTTCAGAATCTTTATTTTTTTGAAATACTGCCATTTGAGAGCAACACCCTAAATTTTCACTACCATCAGGACCAGGTCCAATACCATAAAATCTAACAATATACTCAGGATACTTTTGAATAATCTCTTGAGTCCTAAAAACAAAACAATGAAAATTATAGAAAATAAAATTAATGGAGTAATTGTGAGGCATACAAAAAAAATTATGCATGAAAACCTCTTTTATTACACTTTGCAAATGTGTAAATCTTAAACTTGAAAATCATAAATACTAACAAAATAATTATTTTAATATATTTATTCACAGATAATTTACCATGTGAAAAATTCTTTTCTAGTCCATTCAAATTTATGATCACAATGTCTCATATCGGTAAGATTTGGGAGTAATGAATTAAATTCAGCATTTGGAGTAGTGAAAATAATTACTTTCGGTTTTATTTCATTGAAAATATTAAAAATCATTTTTTTAAGAACTTTTTCAGTAAGATGTTCAATCCTACAAAACAATAAACAAATGATGTTTGTTTTATATAGTTGTGAAAAATTTAAATAACATACAATTCAATTCCGATAATAGCATCTGTTCCAACTAAATATTCATCATAATCAGCGACATTTCCATTAAGAACATAAACATCTAAAGAATTATGGTTTTTTCTAGTTAGATAATCAAATGCTAATGGAGAAGTTTTGTATAAATTTCTTTCAAGTATTTCTTTGTCAATATCAATCTCAAAAATTTCTTTTATTTCTTTAATTTTTTTCATATACATGAAAAAATTTAAATCCGCACACCCGAATTCAACAACCTGAAAAAAAAAAAAAAAAATGTTTTTTTCTTTTTGTAGTAGTTTTTAAAATTTTACAAAACAATTGTTTTATTCTTTCCTATTAGTACCTTATTAATTTTACCTTCAGCTGCAAATTCTTGTAGTATTAGTGCAACTGTTTCGTACCTCTGAATATAAACAGGAGGAGAAAATTTAAGTATCCCACCAGAATAGTAAGTTTGTTTCGAAAATCCTACAATATTGTCCGTAGACTGTGAATGAATTTCTTTTTTATTAATTGATTTTGCTATATTTGAAACTACATATCGCGCCAATAAGCACAGAAAATGAAAAATTAATATCATTTTTTTGTTTTTTGAAAATATGTTTGAAGATGATGAATTAATTTGTAACGAAATTTAATTTTTTTATAATCCCTTACAAGCCGCAAAATAATATTTTCTTGGAATGAAAAATTAAAATAATAGAAAAAATATTTGAAATAAATAAATCGTTATTAAAAAAAAAACTTTTTATGTTGTCTACATTGTTTTTTTAAAATTTTACGTTTGTAATATTGCGACAAAAATCTCATTACATTTTGTGTCACATGTAGTGTGTTTTGGTTAGGATTAAGTACACAAAATACATAAAGTGTAAAAATGGGTGTTTTAAAAAGGGTAGTGTAAGTATTTATAAATTTAAAAAACATTTAAATTAATTTTATTATGTAATGATATTTAGTGTTAAATATGACTGTATTAATTTTTTGTTTTTTTTTTTTTTTTTTTTCAGGAAACCCACAACTCGAAAGGGTAAACAAATGCTTATGAGTAGAGAGCCACAATTAGTTGAAAATGTCAAAAAAGTTATGTTTATAAGAGGAAGGAAAACAAATGATTTAATAATGAATTGTTTGAGAGATTTGGTTGGTTTATTATAAATTTTTTATCAATTTTTAAGAATCCAAGAAATAATAAAATTGCACATTTAATACTTCAATATTTTAATATAATATTTTTAATTTTATTATTTTCTGTTTGCAGTGTAAATATAAAAAACCAGATGCAATGATGTTATCGAAAAAAAATGATATTGTACCTTTTGACAATGCTGTACCAATTGAAGAATTTTCAAGAAAATTAAATATGCCTCTTTTTGTGTTTGGATACACCAATAAAAAAAGACCCAATAGTATAATATTTGGTTAGAATCACTTCTTAAAAGTTTTTTTTTAAGGTATTTTTATGAAGGCTTTATTGAAACAATTAAAATCTCTTTTTTTTTTAGGCAGGACGTATCATCATAACATATTAGATATGATTGAACTGGGAATAGAAAATTACAAAAGTATAAAAGATTTTGCTGCAGAAAAAGTCTTTTCAGGTAGTAAACCCTGCCTCCTATTTGCCGGAGAAGAATTTAAATTAAATCCCGATCTGAATAGACTACAAAATTTATTAATTGATTTATTTCAAAGACAAGAAGTTCAATCGGTTTCTCTTCAAGGTTTAGAACATGTTATAATGTTCACAGCTAGTAATGGTAAAGTTTACTTTAGAAGTTATAGGTATGTAATTTCTGTTTGTTTTATTTAGTAAATACTTATTAAAAAATCGATCATTAATAAATTTATTGTTTTTATTTTTTTTAGAATTTTACTTAAAAAATCTGCGAGTAAATTACCTAGAGTTGAATTAGAAGAAATTGGTCCTTCAATAGATTTTAAACTTCAAAGAACCAAATTAGCATCATCTGATTTATTCAAGAAAGCTTGCAAAAAGCCCAAGGAATTAAAGGTATGTAATATTTACCTAAAAATTGTTTTAATTTGTGATAAAAAAATTATTTTCTTTCTAATTCATTTTCATTTTAGGTGAAGAAAGTTAAAAATGTATCTGTTGATGCTTTCGGTACGAAACATGCACAAATACATGTTTCTAAACAAAATATTCATAAACTTCAAACTAAAAAAATGAAAGCATTACGAGGAATGCCGAAAGAAAAAAAATTGTCAGACAAGAAAACAGGTAATATTACTACTGAATCAAATAATCAATAGTTTAAAAAATATTTTTTTTATATTAAAATATTTAATACATATATAAATTTTTTAATTATACAACATAAATTTATCCTTTAATAAAATATTTAAACATTTTAATTTCAATGAACGTTAAAGCTTATAATTTTAATGTTTATTTTTATTTTATAAATTTTTAATTTTATTGCACTGCTGCACTTCTCTGCCCTCGTTAATAAATATTTACTTTACATAAGTACAAAAAAAAAAATTTACACAATATGTAATTTAATATGAAAATTACAAAGATAGATTTACCTCTTTAGTTTATATAGAAATATGGTTACAATATTAAAAAACCAATCCTAAAATTAATTTACATGCAAATTAATTAATATTTTTCCAAATCCCGAAACCAATATTTCATATAGTAAAAATTATTTATCTATGAACATGCAGAGAAACAGTCATATTTTTTCTTATTCTTGAATTTAAAGCTTCCTCAAGTTCTTTAGGTATAATAACCCAAGAATATTTATCAATAGGGTATACATTCTCTAATGGCACTCTGAAAGAAACCAAAAGAGTTAAAAGTATACCATCATTTTTTCCTTCCGTTTTAGCACTATGCTCTACATTAAGCAGACCGTGAGGTTTATGAGAATCCAATTGCAAGTCTGCTCCAAATATTTCCTAAAAAAAAAAATTAAAACATTTTTTTTTTAACACAGGGTTAGAAGAGAATTTTTTTTTAATAAAATTTTTTAGGAAACAATTTTTCTTACAATCATGAACTTTCTCAGAGTTGCATGCAAACTTCTGGCAGGATAAATTTCGCACACTGGAAGATGAGCTTTTGTTTTTTCCGATAGTAATACATGTACTCTGTTACTAGCTTTTTGTTTTATACATATTAGTAATCTTAAAAATAATTTATCATGGGATTTTAATGCAGGCTTTATTTCATGATGCCATGGTTCTTGTTTATGTAATTTATGATAATTTCTAGCTTTTTCAATTATTTCAAGAACATCAAGAGCTCTCAAACTCAATTCACCAACATTATTCACCCATTTGGCTTGAAGAGATTCAGAATCGGCTTGAGCAGGTGTCTTTAAAGTTCCACCTATAAATTTAAAAATATAATTTTTTTGAATTTTTTTTTTTAATGGATAACAATTATTCTTACAGAAAATATAAAAAAAAAAAATTACTTAACCTATTACTTCTCCGGTAAAAATGAAACGAAACCAAGAACCACCAGCACTTTCTACAGACAGCAAAGTATTAGGTTTCATATTCAAACCGGTTTCTTCCAAAACTTCTCTTTTAACTGCTTCTTCAATTGTTTCATTGGGCTCCATACGACCAGCTGGAAGATACCATTGACCAGCACATGATTTTTTAGCTTCCTGCATCATTAGCACCTCATTTTTAGAATTTATTAGAACTCCTACTACAATGTAAGTAACAGTTTTTGAAACAATAGGAACATAATCAGAGGCAGCCAGAGGAGCGACTCCTTTTGCAACTGAAAAATTTAATAAATAATTTTTTATCATTAAAATAAAAATTTTTTAATTTTGTGAAAGAATTACAAAAAAAAAAATTTCCTACGAAAAAAAAAAAAACAAAATTAATTAATGGAAGTTAAAGCATCTGTTTTAAAAATTTTTATTTTTATGCAATAGGATTCATTGGACTAGCCCCTTGGCAGAGCCGTACCTAAATAATTATGAAATACCGTTATTACCTATGGCTTCATTTTGATCAGCCAAAGTGAAATCGCATGATAATTCTTCTTCCAGAGCATTTCCATTTAATAAGAGACGAATACTTTCTTCTACAGCGTCCATGACTAAAAATTTGACAAATGAGCAACAGGTAAAAAATTAAAATTAAAAAAACATTTTTTAATAAAAAAAAAAAAAAATAACTGTACAACTACACTTTCTACATAATGTTTACATCATCGTATTGTTATGGTTATAAATCCGCTGACATTTACGAGTTTAAAAAAAAAATCACCAGATGTCTCTTTAAAAAACTTTTCTTAAAAAATTTTTTCCCGCGTTTATTTTTCATTTTTGAATTTTCTTTTTAAAAATCACTTCATATTCATTTAATACTTAAAATTTCTTATAATTTTTAAAAAAAAATCTAAGGAATGATATAAAATAAAAAATTATATAAAAACAACAAAATTTCGCAGCATTTTATTAAAAAAAAACTAAAATCTATTATAACATTACAAATAACATAATAAAAAATTAAATGGCAGTTTTTTTTTTTTTTTTTAAAATTATTATCATTATTATTTATTATTATTAAATAAAGTTAAGTAAATAATAAAAATCACAAAGAAAGAAAGAAAAAAAATTATAAAATAAATACTTTTCAAAAAGGCAATATTTTCAACAAGTATTGTATAGAAAAACAAAAAGCATAAATTATTTTAAAAAGGATTATCTTAATGTTAGTAATATAAATAAATTATGGCTTTTTTTTTTTTTTTAAATTAGTTTTAAATATATATATAATCAAACATCAACTTCTTGTTCTTCGGAGTGTCCAATAGAAACATAATGAACTTTTTTAGATACACTACTAAGTATAGGATTCATGTTGTACCTGATAGTTTTTCTGTTGGCATATAAAAGACCAAGTAATAATACAATTAATATAATTAAAAGTAAACCTAATAAAATTTCAGTTGCTTGATATTGTGGCGTTGATTGTGGTGGTCCTGTAGGAATAGGAGGAGGAGAAAATGTTTTAACAAGATCAAATAAACATTCGGATTTTTTATTTGTCGTTGATAAGGGTTCGTGATAACAACGTATTTGATTTTTACGTCTTACTTCAACTTTTGTGGTACGAAGCCAATCGAATAATTCATTTGAACCGCATTCACACGTGTACGGATTATTATGTAAGTCTAACGTCAATGATTGATTCCTTTCTGGAAAACTATCGAATATTTTCAATTCTCTCGGACTCAAAACTTTTATTCTATTATTTTCCAAATCGATATATCTTAAATGTTTTAAACAAGTTATTTCGAAATTGATACCGGTGAGAAGATTATCTCCCAAATATAAATCCATTATGCTTGGTAAATCGCAAAAAACTCTCTTATCACCAAATTCTGTTATTTTATTCTGTTCCAAATGAAGTTTTATCAATTTTGTTAAATTGCTATTGACGAATATGTCGTGTAGGTCGGATGCCAAATTTTCAGACGTGTCGGAAAATGCATTTGTCAAATGTAATTCTTTTAAATTTTCAAAATTTGAAAAAACACGCGGATGATGATGATTGTAATTTTTACCGGAGGATATCGATATATCGTTATGATTCAATATGAGCCTTTCGACTGTCGATACTCTGTGATAAGATTTTCCAAATATTTCTTTTATTTTATTATTCGACATGTCGACAACTCTCAAATGACTATAATTTCTAACGAATCCAAATATATTCCAAGGAAGTTCTGGTATTGAATTTCCGGTAAATATCAAAACCTGTAGAAAAAAAAAAAAAAAATTAATTAATTTAAAAAAAAATTTTTTTTTTGTTGTTATCATTATTTATTCATCATGTTCAATACCTCAACTTCTTCTGGAAGGTATTCGAGAACTGAGGAATTGGTAAATTGTGTGTTTGTACAATTGACAACATACTGAACTCTATCTTGATATATCAAATTACCACAAAAACATTTTCCATGAAATATCGAATCGCAACCATAACTCCAAACTCTTCCCGAAAACGATGCAACGTATAAAATGTATATTATTATGTTATTCATGACTAGATTCTCGGTTCACATGGGTATTTCTGTAAATAAAACAAACAAAACAATCGATTCGATAATAATAATAATAGGAGTGTGACGATAAAAAAATTCATTTCCATGTACAAGAATTACACGGTTTAATGATTGTCGTTTTGCTTGTTCTGCAACTGAATATATAATCATAAGAAAACATGAATGATTTTTTTTTTTATTTTCTTTTGTTCAGAATTTTTTCCTTTTTTTTTTATTTTTTACATTTACATGCACATTATTATTATTATTATTTATATATATATATATTTTTTTACAACATTTCACGTATTTATTACAACAAACAAACAAACACACACACACACAGACTCCATTTATTTAAAAAAAAATATTAATAAAATAAAATAAAATGTTATACATATTATTTATATATAATTTATTTAAACAAACACGTGAATAATAATAATAATAATAATAAAATATTTTTAAACGTCCTACGTATAAGGTAAAATATTTCAATTTGTTGTTGTTGTTTTTTTTTGAAAAAGAAGGTACGATCAAATTATATATATATATATATATATATATATATATATATATATATATAATAATTAAAACACATACACAACAAACAAACAAACAAACAAACACGTATATATATATTTGTTTAAATAAAACTAACTTTTTAATTTTCAAAAAAAAATAATCAAACGAATAATATTCTATTCATTTTTACAAAAAAAATTTTTCTCTTCGTATTTATTCTTCAACAACAACAAAAGAAAATTTACCAACACAAATGTAAAAAAAAAAAAAAAAATAAACCTATCGCACCTGAAATCACACACATACAAACTCTGGAGTTGGTTGTTCGATACCTAAAAATGTACTCTCATACTTATCCTAGGGCCGGTTATAAAAATTAAAAAAATGGTGTTGGTAAAATGTTGACTCTACTCTCTGTATATTGTTGAAAACGTATAACAACCGTTCGATTGTTTGTACGGTGAAAAATTTACACATTTTAATCCTAAATTATATTATTCGTGGGGGAGGAATGGGGGGAGGGGGCAAAAAAAAAAAATTCGCAATTAATTCGAAATGAAAAATAATAATTTTAATGCCGATTTATTAATAATAATAATAAAAGATATCAGGTTCGAATTTCTACGATTGAAAATAATGAGACATAACAGGTATTTCTGCTAAAGGTATTAAAAAATATACACACACACGGTCTGCGTGCAAAGTCAGATATTATTATTATTATTATTATTATTATTATTATTATTATTACGGCCATATGCAGCATAAAAATCTTATTTTTTACTTACGATCGAACGCGTTCGTACCTTTTTTTTTATGGTTTTTCATTTTTTTTTTTTTGAGGTCAATATATATATATATGTAGAAATAAAGCAAATGCTTTGTTTGAGTATTTTTTTCACTCCGTTAAATTATTCTCCGCTACGGTTATATTTATCATTATTATTATTACCCTACTTTATTTTTGCATTTAGAAAAAGAGGAGAAAATTTTATTATTTCGATCAGTATTATTATTATGGTCACTCCTAAACACGACAAGGCTCTTATTTGTCGGGGTTTTTAGGCATTTATTCCAGGTTTCTACCCGACGATTCCTTAGGGATAAATTCTCGAATTTCGTTGGTGCTATTTTTGCTAATATTTTCCCGAAGAATGTGGGCCGTCCCACATAGTAGTGCGATTTTCTGGATGGTTTCTTCTTCTTTTAGGTTCTTCAAAATCTTCTTTAAATTTCCTTTCATTTATTATTATTATTATTATTATTATTAGTATTATTATTATTATTATTTGTTAGAATTAAATTTCTCAAGTTGGAAAAAAAATCGTTTGGTAAGGTTATGTATTATTTCCATTCTTTTTCAAGTCAGCAAAAAAAAAAATTTTTTCTGTTTTCTTTTTGAATAAAAAAAAAATTTCTTTAGAATTTGCAAATTATTATTATTATTATTATTATTATTATTATTATTATTATTATTATTATTATTATTATTATTAAAAAATAACCTTGATGACAAAGTTTTTAAAAAAATTACATAAAAATTAATAAAATATTTTCAACGTTTGTCTCTCAGGTTCTCAAATTTTTCTAATTAAATATTTTTTTTTTTAAATCTATTTTGATTTTCGCCTAAAAAATTTTACGTAGGCGAATTAAGGTGTGATTTCATGTTTTAAAAAAAAAAAAACAATTATTTATTGACACTCTATTAACTACTACCGGAAGGTCTTTGTTTTTTATTTATACGATCGCCATTTTTTTAAACGAATTTATTTTTTATTGTAATTGACTCCCCCTCCCTCCCCCCCAACAAACGTTTCGAAATATTTCATTTAACACTTGGATTTATATTATTATTACAATTCCAAAAAAAGAATTTTAAACTAATATAAGCAAAAATGGGATAGAAAAAAAAAA